AGRTGCCACCCTTGGGGGACAGAAGGGCCCCAGAGATGGCCCCAGCACCTCATCCTGCAGTCAGACACGCGTGTTCCCAATGCAGCTAAAGCACTTCTGGGAAGGTTTCTTTGCTGTCCCTTTCCCAGTGGCACTGGCAGCAAAGCCCCCACTCCAATGGCTTTGCTCTGAGCTGTTTCTGCTGTGGCTGGTCCCAAGATCCAGTTCATCCATCCAGTGCCAGCACCACTGCAGGTTTCCTTGTTACCCCTTGCCCAAGAAATCCTTGAGTTTCTCAACACAAAACTTTTTTGGTCCCTCCAAAAGCCCCGGTTTCAGGGCGGGAATGTGGGCTGATAAAACATTTGAAAGGCACCCAAGTGTTTTAACACCCAAGAGTTGTAGCACCCAAATCTCACTGCCAGCCAGCAGCCACCAGCTTCTACAAACGTTTCTCTGGCAATTTTGAAATAGTCTCTTCTCTTCCATGTGCAGGAGCCGTCCCTCCATGCCCTGAGCCTCCGTGAGGCTCCACAACCCCACCTGCACCCCTCAGGTCCTGCCCTTCTCTTCTCCAGCTCCTATCACCAGCTCACAGGCTCCCAGAGCTTCCTTAATCTGGTTCCTCAGCAGGCACAGCAGTGCTGGGGCTCTTGGCTGTCCCAAGGAGTGTCACCGAGCACCGGCGCTGCGCTGGCACACCGGGCTGAGATGTGACACCAAACTGCCCCAAAGCTCTGCGTGTCCCCACAYAACCCAGCCCTGCCACAGCTCTGGGCTCCCTGTGCTCGGGAGCAGACTCCATCCCGGCTCATTTTACACCAGCCCAACAATCCCCGGGCAGGGATGGTTCTGTGAGTCCCAGGCTGGTGCTGTCACACAGCCCCGAGGGGCAGGGAACACCCCAGACACCACAGCTTGRAGGGGGAAGAGGAGACAGAGCAGTGACTCAGTGGTGCCACAGGCTCCAAACCCAGCGAGCGGCGTCTGGCGCACGGTGAGTGGAGCTCAGCTGTCAAGTGGGGCCTCGTGGGGACCCTCCAACATGGACACAGGGAATGAAATCCCCATGCCCTGCTCTGGCTGGGCTGGAGCTCATCTGCCCCACAGCAGCCCTCAGAGTCACTCACCCTGCTGTGGCTGAACAGGGATGATAACACCCCATGTTTTGGCTGCTGCTGAGCGGCGCTTGCAGCATCGAGGCTGCCCCCAACACTCACCCCTCACTGGGAACTGGGAGGGGACACTGCTGGGACAGCTGCCCCAAWRTGACCAAAGGGATATTCCACACCACAAAAAAGCAAAGAGAAAAGAGGAAGAGGGGGTGGGCAGTTGTAATTACGACATTTGCCTTCCGGAGCAGCCACTAYGCTCCTGAAGGTACTTCCCAGGAAGTGGCTGGACATCATCTGCTGATGGGAAGTAGAGAATAAATCTTTTGTTTCCCTTTGTTTCTGCACATGACCCTTTTGCTTTTGCTTTATTAAACTGCCTTTATCCTGACCTACCAGGTTTTTTTTCCATCCTCGTTTCTCCTGCAGAGGAGGGGAGTGACAGAGTSGCTTGGTGGGCACCAGGAGCCACAGAACCATGGAATGGTTTGGGTRGRAAGGGACCTTAAATCCCATCCCATTCCACCCCTGCCATGGACAGGGACRCCTTCCACTATCACAAGTTGCTCCAGGCGCTGTCCAGCCTGGCCTTGGACACTGCCAGGGATGGGGCAGCCACAGCTTCTCAGGCMCCCTGTGCCAGTGCCTCAACACCTTCTGAGCAAGTTATTTCTTTCTTACATCTAATCTAAACCTGCCTTCTTAAAACCACTTCCCCTTGTCGTGTCACTTCAGGCCCTGCTATCAAAGTCTCTCTCCATCTGGGAGAGATGGACACCCAGAGAAAAGAAGCAGAGCTTCAACCCCACAAGGAGGCCTCTGGAGATGGGAAAGGGCAGCCAGGAGGTGCCGAGCTGTCATGCACAGCCCACAATACAGGAATTCCCGTTCTTGGAAAAAAACAGAAGTTTGTCCTCAGCACCTCAGCATTTTGCAGGGTCACCCTGATGCATCAATAAACGTCCACTGACAGGATGGGGGGAAAGAGGAAGCACTGCAAAATCATGTTCTGTTTATCAACCCCCTTCCTCTCTCCATGGAAACGGGATGCTCCAAACCCTGCCCGGTTTTGGGAGCCCGGGGATGTGTGAGCCTCATCCTGCCACCCCACACTGCACTGCCAGCAGCGCCCAGTTGTGTAAGAGTGGAACTGGGTGGAAAAAAAGCTTATTTTGCTGCTGCTGGACAACATCCCGTGACCCAGGGTGGGACAGATGGACACAGAGCAGTGAGACAKTTTTTGCAGCTCACGAGCAGAGGAAGCTGTACCAGCAACTTGGGAACTCCATGCCAAGGCAGCGTGAACAAGAAACACAAAACCCTGGAAAGGAGGCCAAGRAAAAGGGTGTCCCAGGACCGCCCTGCTGTCAAGGCCCTGTCAGAGGTGTAAGTAAGCTAAGGTGTAGATTTTGGTACAATTAGCATCCCTGGAGCTCTGCAGAGCACCTGCCACCTCCAGAGACCTTCACCAAACTTGCAGGGCAGTCTCTCCTAAAATACACCCCTCAGAACATGCATTCTTGCATAATATTTGTAGCACCAAAGACCCGACAGCCGGCAGAGACAACTTTCCCTGCAGCACAAACGAGCCCTGACTCCAGGCAAGAGCGGCAGGAGCAGTTTCCCACAGCCCCAGTGACAATGGGTGTCCCCCACCACGTCCATCCCTCCCCCCAGAGCTGCTCCCACTGCCCATTCTGGTGTTTTCCAGCACGGTTTCCCCCGTGCTCCCCGGCAGGGCCGCAGGCCATTGGCCCCTCCTTTCTCCTCCAGCTTCCGCACAGATACTCCTGATTTCATCACTCTGCTCCCCGAGCACGGCTGAAGGCGCAGAGCAACCGCGGAGCTGGCTCTGTGCGCCGGGAGAGCCCCGGGAAAGGAGGAGAGCCCTGGAAAAGGAGAGCCTTGGAAAGGAGAGCCTTGGAAAGGAGAGCCCTGGAAAGGAGGAGAACCTTGAGAAAGGAGAGCCCTGGGCAAGGAGGAGAGCCCTCAGTAAGGAGGAGAGCCCTGGAAAAGGARGAGAGCCCTGGCAAAGGAGGAGAGCCCTGGCAAAGGAGGTTTCACGGCTGCATTCCCTAGGGAGACGCACCTACCAAGCTAAACATGCCTGAGGTCCTTTAGGGCAAAGCCAGGAAGGCATAAACCCCATGAATCCCACCTGGTTCCACCCTGTCCTGCCYGCTTGTCTCCCAGACAGGCCTCCAGGTCTGAAGTGTTCTCACTCCTGCACCTGCATGTAAATAAAACACCCAGGAGGGGTTGTGGAAATGGGGCTTCACCTGCCTAAATACGCTCACAGCAGGCTGGGAAAGGGGTGGGATAATTTCAGGAATAGCTGTGCAGGAAGGATCTGAGCTCCTCGGGGTCTCTCAGACCCCTCTGGAGCAGGACAGGGCACAGTTCACAACAGGCACCAGCTTAAGAAAGCTCCCAAAGCAAGATTTCCCTCAGCAAGCTGCAGCACCGCACAACTTAGTGCTAATAAACCACTGATGGTTCTTGAGGAGGAAAATGAAGGAATCCAGAGCTCCCTTCCTTCCTCAGCTGCTCCAAGGCAGGGACGGGCACACATTTCACCTGTCCCTTTGGCTTTATCATCAGGGACGGGACCGGGGCCAGCTCAACCTCTGCACAGCAGGGCTGGCGAACGCGGGGTGGTTACATCACATCACATCACATCACATCACATCACATCACATCACATCACATCACAGGTTTTGGGTTATTCGGCTGCTATTGATCTAGCTGCAGAAGTTTGGGAAACACTTTGTCAACAACCCCTGCCCGGGCAGAGTGATGCTCTCCCAGAGCAGCTCATCCGAGTGGGTGATTTTTCCAGCCCTGYCACCGCTCTCTTTAATGCGGGAATCTCCGGATGCTTTGCAGCAGAGACAAAGCTACCCAGGTTGCTGCGGAGCGGGAGGAAGGGGAGGCCAAAGCACCGGGAGATTTTAAAGTGACTTCTCCAAGGTTACAAAAGGCGTCTGTGGCTGAGAGAGGAAGCGAACAAACTGGATGCTTCCTCCCTGAGTGTCAAAGGGAGGAAAGCAAACCTGGTCCAAGCAGGGCATGGTCGGGTCAGGAGCATCTTCAGTCCCAGGGAGATGGTGACTGTGGGAGYGGAGGGACCGGGATGCTGCTGCCTGCCAGGCCCAGGACAGAGACCCAAGGTCGTGGGGAGAGCAGTGCTCACCCCGGCCCAGCCGTCTGGGGTGTTTGCAGAGGATGTACACAAGATTTTGCCCTGGGATGTTTGGGTGGTCCTGCTTTGGGATGCTCAGAGGGGTCTCTCCCTAGAATGCTCCAGAGGGTCCCTCCTTGGGATGCTCACGGGGTCACTCCTGGGGATGCTCACGGGGTCACTCCTGGGGATGCTCACAGGGGTCACTCCTTGGGATGACTGGGGCTGCGTGCCCCATCCAGCTGAGGGGTTCTGCCCCGGGATGCTCAGGGGTCACTCCTGGGGATGACTGGGGGTGCGTGCCCCATCCAGCTGAGGGGTTCTGCCCCGGGATGCTCAGGGGTCACTCCTGGGGATGACTGGGGGTGCGTGCCCCATCCAGCTGAGGGGTTCTGCCCCGGGATGCTCAGGGGTCACTCCTGGGGATGACTGGGGGTGCGTGCCCCATCCAGCTGAGGGGTTCTGCCCCGGGATGCTCAGGGGTCACTCCTGGGGATGACTGGGGGTGCGTGCCCCATCCAGCTGAGGGGCTCTGCCCCGGGATGCTCAGGGGTCACTCCTCGGTAGATGCTCCCGAGGGTCACTCCTTGCAATGCCTGGCGGTGTCTGTCCCATTGGCCTGGGGGATCCCACCCCGGGGTGCTCAGGGGGTCCCTCCTTCCCCACCACACCAGCGGCCCCTCCCCAGCCCCTCTGCCCCGGACTCCCCCCCAGCGCCGCCCACCTACCCAGCTTCATGAGGCAGGCCAGGAGGATCCACAGCGAGATCTCGAAGGGGATGCGGACGTGCGTGTAGTCGACGCCGATGACCGGGAAGGCTTTGCGGTGCTTGGTGTGCCCCTCTCCCGAGCCGTTGGCCGGCTGCTCCTTGAGCGGGTGGATCTCCTCAGGGGCGGCGGGGGGCGCGGGGGTGAAGCCCGGGATGTCGCCGCCGGGCAGCGGGGCGGGCTGGCCCTCGGAGGTGAGCATGGGGTTGGCCTGCAGGACCTGGCCGGGCAGCAGCGGCCCCAGCAGCAGCAGCGCCCAGGGCAGGGCGCGCAGGGCCGCGGCGCCCATGGCGGCGGGCGGGGGGCTCGGGCCGGGGCCGCGGGGCCCTCCTGGAGCCGCCCCGCCACAGCCCGAGCGGAGCTGGGGCGGCCGCGGCGCCGGGCTCGGCCCACAGAGCGGGCGGGAGGCGGCGGCGGGAGGGACCGGCGGAGGCGGCGCCCGGGGCGGCGGGCGGGGAACGGGGAGCGGGGA